GATTTTTATCGATTTTATCGATTCGTTGTTGCAGCCCTACCGGAGACTCTTCCAGAATAGAGCCCATCCTCTCCCGTTTGCTTTCGATCTGCCCTTTTCTAGTATTCCTTTCTTTTCCTGGTTTCCTCCGGTATTCCCGTTCATCTATTGTAAAACAGATTCATAATATAATCACAATCCCCTCAAATAAAATCTGTGTAGGTCTATACCTTACCGAAAGCTTTTAATTAAATTAGATAAGATTTAATTTTACAGATACTTGTTAAAAGTAGGTTATTTTGGGTTCGTCGTAATATTATTTCATCTGGAATATTAACCCTCCATTTTCTACTTAGGATCTCAGAGATTGGTACCTGTCTCCAGCAATCTATGGATTGCTGGAGACAGGTTACATTCAACTGCGGGACAAAAAGGAAGAGACGGGGCAAAAAAAGCATGTTTTAGGCTCCAGAAGGAAAAGAGAGCCCCAAAAGAGAAGCCATGCATGCACTGGAAACATGCCAAACTCCATGCAGATTAACCCTCTGCTGGGTCATTTCTCTGGCAATGCTGGTTTAGCCTGTTAATACTCCATGGCCTTTCTGTGGTTCGTCTTGCAGCATAAACTGATCTTAGTAGGAAAGTGCTGAGGTAAAACTTTCTGGGTGCTAAATTAGTTCCAGATTCATCAGCTGTGTAAGCATATGAGTCGTAATTTAACCCTACAGCCCATCCTGGTGCATTAGGGTGTAAACAAATTGTAACCCTCATATTATGTTAATCCCTCCCAAACATGCTGAAGTGCAGCAAACTTTATGAGTACTGTGGTTTATCATTTAATCATTTCAGTTCATTTCAAATTCTACATGGGCACCTCAGTCCTGCCGATAAATTTGGAGAGGAGTCGTGAAATTCCATTATTCAATATCAGCATTAATCAATCTGTAAATATTGTACCACTACATGTCAGTGAATCCAAACTAGAAGCAAAACACCCAAACAGTGAAATTGGACAAGGGAGCAGCAGGTAAATTGTGGGGAAATATTGATTTGTTTTTCTTAATAGGACATTCAGCAGATGTTGTCAGAAAAGTGTTTCCAACATTTTTCTATGTTTCTTTTTTTGTGTTTTTTTGCTTTCCTTTTCAGCCACAATTAAACCCAAAATGATTCAAACCCCAAGCAGATTTAGCATAAAATGGATGGAAGAATTCAGCCACGATTTTTCCTTCTGACTGAAACTAATATAATGATCTGAAGCTGCCCAGACATAAACCTGATATGAATTTTACAAAGAGTCTGGAAAGGAAGCTTAGCATTCAGGAATTGGAAGGTGTTGCTTTGACCTCGACAACTTGAACTTCATCTAAAAACATGAACAACTGAAAATATGGATTTAAACAAGCAAGCATGCTTCCTGTATCCTGTATCGTTGTGAGGGCTGTAGATATTAAGCTAAATGCTAGTTTTGGTAAAAAGGTAATACATTTTTTTTCCTTCAGGTGTAATACCCCTTCTTCATTTGAAAAGCCTGTGTTATTTCTAATAATTGGTTGAAAATAACAAAGAAAATAACACAAATGAATAGATTAGGTCTTTATTACCAGTGTTGGTCCTATACAGCTGTTTCCTGGTGATTTTTATTGTTTAACTTATGTGAACAAGAATTTACACCTTTTTGTGCTTATTGAGCAGAGGGCATTTCCCCAACATTATCTAACAGATTGAATCCACTCCCTTTATGTTGCTATGTTTTTATATCCCAAATCCCACTGGGTTTATTTTTCCAAAAACCTTTGGAGTTTCTTATGATTAACTGTTAAAACCAAAAATCATTCCCCTTACAGAAAAAAAACAAACTCACTTTTCATTTCCCATTTCATTCGTGGCCAGGCACCATATGTTTTTCTTTTTATCACATTACTGAATTATTACAGTAAATTTCAAATGTTCTTTTAGAGCATCGTATTTCAGAATTACATAAATATTCACTAGATTTTTTTTTTCAAGAAATGAATTTGTATGTTAACATGTGTAAAGTATATAGTGGCATATAAAGCTTTATTTTATTAAGTAAGAGCTTGATTTTATTAACAGCATAAGTAAGTTCCTCAGCAATTATTCTACAAAATATACGATTTTTATCACAATGGTCAGTAATCTTTATTGCACCTTGTAAAAATATGTACAGTGGGGCAAAAAAGTATTTAGTCAGCCACCAATAGTGCAAGTTCTCCCACTTAAAAAGATGAGAGAGGCCG